TTTTTTTTTTTTTTTTTTTTTTTTTTTGTATGTTTTATATTATATATATATAAGTAAAATGTGATTTGGCTCTTAACCATTGCTTCATCATAATTTCCTATTAGCATACATTTCTTTGTATTGTTTAGTTAAAATTAAATTTATAATTACCAAAACTTAACTATATTTAATTAAAACCATATGTTTTATTGTAGTAAATAAAATATTATATATTCATTTAATTCACTAGCTTTAGATTTTTTACATTTTTTCATGCGCATGAACATTATTTTATGTAACCTTTATAATATTTGTATGGATATATCTATTAAGAACTTGAAATTATGAGAAAAATATTGACATAATATAATTATTAATTTTCGTATGATAGGATTACATTTAATTTTTGTAAATAATTAAAATTTTCAATTGGTTTTATTAAATTTATTTATTTGAGTATGATTATGAAGAGAGGGGGTAACTCTTTTAAAAAGGAGCAACTTTATTGGATAGAAGATTAATAAACCAAACACAGGAACATTCATGGAAAAATGTGGCTAATCACAAGAATTATAAATATAAATATAAAATAAAAATAAAATCATCCTGCCACATAATTTCTCCCTTCAAATTTGCATCGCCTTTTGGAAGATTTCCATGGCGGAAGCCGGAAGCCCCAAAAGAATATTTATACTCTTTCTTTCTTTCCCATGAGACAGGAACAGAATTACCTCTTTTTCCGGCAACGCCACCGGCCCTGAAAACACCGGCTCCCCCCACCCGAAGTCCGTCGTTTGAAAACCCAGCCTTGACCAAGTTGTTATCAACAAAGTCGCCGCCAGAGATGGCCTCGCTCTCGTGGTTTCGAAGTAATCGATGGCCGACCTCATGTAGCTATCTGTGATCATCTCCACCGCCTTCTGAACCACCCCCACCCCAAACGACAGTGGGTTTTCCAGAAGCTCGCCGGCGCTGCATAGTGAGTTGGTTAAAACGATGGCGTTTCCAGCGTACCCTTTTGGTATTGGGGGCTGAAATTTAGACCTTCCGTCGACGGCGAAGAGGAGCTTTGTTTGTTGATGGGGCTGCATTCTGAGAGCCTCTGTTCTTGCCCTCCACACAAACCCCGACAGCGCTTCAAATGTGGTGCACCTCGTCAAAACCCCATCTTCCAACGCTTGCTGTTTGAGCTTATTCAGCTTCTCCGGCTCAAAACAGAAGGACCTATAATGCATCTCTTGATCTCCATAAAGCTCGGAGGTGTTTGATATGTCTTCTATCTCAGCGAATTCGTGGTGGGGAAATTGGACCAGAGGAGGCTCTCGTGCTTTGAGAATGCTTCTATCTACAAACGGAGGGACGGCTAAAGGCAATCCCCTCGCAGTTTCACCCCACGAATTCACAAATTCCATTGCCGCAATCCCATCAAACATACAATGATTCAGACACAACCCCACAACGAATCCTCCACATTTGAACTTAGTCACCTGCCACATTGTAACATTGACGAAACCATTTGAACTTAGTCACCGAAGTTTGTATATAAGGAGGCAATAAATAAAGAGGTAGTTGTGAAACCTGTGCAACAAGAGGAGGCATCTGAAGTATGTTGGTAGCGCCAGGGATGTCATAAACAAGCTTGCCAAGAGTGTGGGGATCAGGCTTGGTTGTATCTCCAATGTCTTCAATGGAACAGTCCGCTTCAGCCTCCACAAACACAGCGCCCTCCGCCGTACAGTCCACAATAAGCTTCCTGTCGGGGCTGATGGTGAGCCGCCCAGCGAGGGGATAGTAATGAACAAGCACCTTGGAAAGAGCATCTTGAATGACTTGGGCAGCATCTTGGTTGCCTCTGGACTGTGAGGTAAAGCAGTAAATGGTGCGGACGATGACTGCAATGTTCTGGTCGAGGTTGGAGAGGAAGTAGAGACCATTTGGGGTCTCCTCTGCAGGAGTGATCAGAGTGGGCTGCTGCTGCTTGACGTTGAGTTGAGAAGCCTTTGTGCCGGAGTCCGCCATGTGACCCAAAATTCAAAGAGGAAGATTGTAGGAGGTGGGGGTTAGTAGGAAAGAGTGGAGTTGATATTATTATATATAAAGCAGAAGTAGGAAGCGAGATGGGTGGAGGTTGTGCCTAATTTCAGTCCACCACTCTGTTTTGTGTTTGTCCTGTTCTGAGAGTGGAGCGAGCCGGACTTGGTTTGGTTGGTGAGGGTTGGCGGCCCAACTCTCTCCACATACCCCCAAGGTCCCAAGCCCATCGCCGCCTTTTTTTTCTTTTTTCTTCAAGAGAACAAAAAAAGAAAACTTGTTGATCACCCACTTTCCCCTGCCAAATCAGCTCATTGTATTGACTATTCAGCGTGGGCTGTTCACCCACTTTCCCGCGCTAAATCAGCTTATTCTAGACATGGGCTGTGTAATTATATGTTTAATATATCATTAATTTATTCCATAGCCGCAAAACTAAAGATAATTTAGGATAAAATCCCATCTCCTTCAAGCCCTGTTATGAGAAACATATACATCAACTTCGCTATAGGAACTCACCATGAACAGCTTTGCATTATAATAATGTAAATTAGTAATCTATGGAGAGGGCTAAAATACAATTAGTTTGTGGGGGAAGGGGAAAAAAATGGGACTAAGCTAAGCTAAGGTAACATACAAAAATGCTAAATAATCGACACGATAATGATACGTGATACATGATACATTATACAGACGGTGGCAGAGATATGTAGACATTAACTGTAACAATCATACAAACAAACGGGGCTGGATGATCATCATTCAGGAATCCGTTCTGTGATGCTTTCTCAACTGAAAAGTAAGCATATTCCACTAAACAATCTCTAAGCATCCTTATCCTCGTCTTTGTCTTTGCCTTTGTCTTTGTCCGTCTCATCACCACCATCACCATCATCATCGGCTTCCTCTTCCTCTTCCTCATCCTCATCACTCATGTTATTTATCACATCTGTGATAATATCCTTCACCTCTGCTTTCCTATGCATCAAATCCACACCAAAGTGGGTACCTAATACAACACTTGCTATGTCAGCAAAATCAACACCCAATCTCTTTCATCAATATGTTGTAACAACACAAAACTTACCAAGTTGACTCAGAATGTCTGACAAAGTTGCCTGCACATGAAAAATATAAGAAAGTAAGAATTGACAATCGCATAATTTATTAACTATCCATACAACAATCCAACCTAACCGAAATTTGAACTTACAGTATTGAAATCCACTTGCTTCAGAATATTAACTACAACATCATGCATCTCCTCTCTGCTGGGTTCTTTCTTAACTTTCTTGCTGTTTTTTCCCTTGCCTGATATCATAGAGAAGGATAGCCATGAGTTCTCTTCCCAAAAATACAAGGATACCCAATAAAGTTCAAGTGCTTATTTCAAAATCATTGAAATGCTATACCCCTGATCTTAAACCACTAACTTCAACTAAGAAATAATTACTAGATAGGCCCCTTATCTTGTTTGAAACTAAAAAATTATGACGTTCCCCCCTCCCCCCGGGAAATAAAAAATAAGAGATTAGAAACTGAATGATCACAATAGTTAAAAGAGAAATGATTAGGAGCTAAGCATTTTACCTTGTTCTTCAACCAAAACCTTTGCAGGGGCTTTGCTTGTTCGTTTCTTGCCCGAAGATTTTTCCTTTACAGGCTTCTTTTCCTCAACTTTTTGCTTTTTTGACGTGCCCTTTGGTTTTGATGGTGAGCCAGCAGATTTTCCAGCATCAATTTTGTTTGAAGCTGAATTAGATGACTTTTTTGTGGATTTTGCAGCACCTTTGGCAGATTTTGCAGCAGTTTTCTTTGTAGAAGATTTTTCGACAAGTTTAGACCCAGAATCATCTTTGCCAGCCTTCTTGGATAAATTCTTCGGACTAGGCATTGGCTCTGGTGTCTTGTCATCCTCGTCTGATCTATCTTGTTCAATATTCTCTTCTTTCCATGCAGTCACATCGTCATCATTATTGCCATCCTTATCGTGAGAATCATCCTTCTCATTTGAAGTTTCAACTCTATCCTCCTCTTCCTCCTCAGCAACAGGCGACTGTTTTCTCTTCTTTGTAGGCTGTGATTTTTGTTTCTAGTGGGAAAATAAGTAATAATTTGTCAACTAACAGCAAGACAAAGGTTAGACACAAACTGGTAAATTCCCAAAAACATAAAAATGGAAAAGAGCCTTAACCCTCTATACTAAATAATGCACACCTCTATTTTAGCAAACAATCCCATAGGAGAGTAAATTGATGTCAATCCCATTATTCCCCTACGTGTGCAGTTGATATTTCAATGTTCTATACCAGCGAAGTTTTACCTTCATTTCATTGTACAATTTACATGTTCCTCTGGAAAAGTTTACATCTTTTTATTCACAAATGGGTTACCAGCCGTTGCCCGTTAACTAATTGCAAATCTGCTAGAGTTTCTTCTTCTCTTACATGTAGTAATATATAATCGCATGTTAAATAGCAGATCTCACAAAAGAAAACAATGTCAACAAAGTTGGGAATTTGAATCAGAACATTACAGAACCAACTAATCACTTTTGGACATTTGTATGCTGAATTCCCAATACATGCCAGGTATTCAAAAGTTCAATGTAACAATTGAACGATTTGGAAATTTCAAGGCATCAAACCCAAAGAAATGGAAAATTTTGATGCCATAAAAGAGTGTACAAATAAAACCATTAAATACTAAAGAATGAATACCTTAGCAGGTACTTCTGCAGAATCTCCAGAACCAACGACCTTTCCTGAACTGGCCCTCCGTCGCTTTCTGCCTTTCTGAAATACAGACAGACATCAAGCGTTTAACAGTAAACAATTGACGTTGCACAGAAAACAATGATTAAATAAAACCTGCTCCTTGTCAGCCAGCAAAACATCAGTTGTAGCATGTGGGGACTCCAAAAATTCTAATAACTTTGCTGAGAGTTCCTCCTGAAGACATAAGACCAGAAAAATTTGAGACAGAACAAAAAGCTTCAACACATGCTATAGTAAAGATATTGGCTCTAATTCTTGCCTTCTTTACAGTGGTTTTGTTTATTGGGATATTTAGCACATCACAAAAATCCACCAATTTTTCTTTGACGCACTTCTCAAGCTTCTCCTTTACCCTTGACCTATGTTTTTCCTGTCAACAACACATGAACACATGAACCAAAAATACGTATACAGCTGCAAAATGAGAAATTAATACTACATTTTCAATTGAGGTCATATTACAACACATCCTTATAAGAAAGACAGTAAAAGGTAGATAATGAAATACCTCATTATCAATCCAAACATAACCTGAAAACTGGCTTATATTCCTCTTCAAGGTTTGAGCCTGCATAAAATAGGCATTCCAATATGCATAAAAAATTTACTACAAAACACTAACAAAGTAAAGATAGAATGGATAATTAAAAATGAAACATTGCAACAACAAAATAGCTGCAAAGAAAAAAAATATATATATTTTTATCACCTTTGCTTTCTTTCCAAACAGAATTGTATGTAGTAGCTGCAGATTGTCATCAGCTTTTCTCTTTGACAGTTTGAAAGCCACTAAAATAGTTTTCATTGTTAGCTACAAAGGATAAGTACATTCAAAAGACCACAGTAGGTTTACAAGAGAAATTCCAGACAGCATTAGTTTTGAAGCCCAGAACTATGCAATTTGCTCGAGGCAAGGCAGATTCTCACAAGATCAGACTCGGACATGATAAGACTGATGAACCACTACACCATTTTAGCATACAAGCTAAAAAAATGTTTTGAACTATATAAAAACACGCAAACACTCAGTCAACACATGCATGAATACTTCTAAGACGTTTACTAATGGTCTCCAAACCAATTGAATTTGAACATTTGACCAACCTAGGGTGGCTTATCGTAACAGTTTCAAATTTCTAAGTCCTTTCACATCTACAGACAATTTCCCCCTTAACAAGCATAATCATTCAAGGATTCCTAGAGTCTATGATATAACTGCCCAGATTGAGTTGTATTGCACTTGAAAACCAAACACAAGCGATGTCAGATAAAAAAAAATGGAGACATAGGGCAATAATGCACTGAAAACCGTCAAAAGAAGCTGCACTGGAAAAGTTAAACAACAGATAGAACGACAATCCAATGGTGAGATGAAGAAGAAATATATCAGTACCAAAAATAAAGTAAGAGATGGTGTTAAATATAATAGAACAGTCTGCACTCGACTGATCGAGCAGATTAACAGATCACGTGAGTTAAAGGTAAAAATATAAGAATTCTGCAAAAACAACGGCCACGACAAGGACTAGAAGAAGACGCCATAGTTGAAACAATGATAAATATAAGAGTGGCAGGAGACAAGACTAGCCCACGTCAACTACTAAAGAACAGCAAGCATTTATCTGAATTGAGATGGAAAGTATTACATGACAATCAAGACATACCATTTGGAATATCCTTGAGGCTAGAGCCGCGGCCCTGAGACACAAGAAGCGCAATTTAAGAAAAAAAAAAGGCTCCCCAGACGTCAAGAAAACATACAATGAACACCGACATACCGTCTCAATTGAGAGAACTTTGCTTGCAGAAGACCTCCCCAGTCTGCCTGGGGATGGCGCGGAATACCGCTCTACTGTCTTTCTCTCCCTGGCTGGCCTCTCAATTGTCGGCGTGACCGGGTCTTTTAACTCTATCTTCTCGGCAGATTTCTTCCTGGATTTGGCAGATGTTCTTTTATCCTTCTTCGTATCTGTCTTGGGTTCCTCACTTCCTTCCTCCTCTGCGCTGACTTCGCCTTTCTTGTCGACAGTCTTATCTTCGGAATTGTCATTAGCAGCAGTGCCCTGTTCCACAGCCGATTCAAGAATTTCCGGGTCGCGCTTCTGCTCGTTAATCTCCTCGGGCTTAGAATCACCATTTAGCTCTTCAGGACGGCCCTCCACAGTAGAAGCTTCTGCTATGACAGCCACGTCAGTGTCTTCTTTTTCCGGGTCTTCGGGTTGGTTAGTGTGATGCTGTTTCCCCTGGACAGGAGGAGCTTCATCCTCTGGTTTGTTATGTTGCAGGTGTTGAGACGCCATGGAAGTTGGAAAGAAGAGAAAACCTGAGAATTAGTGGAAGAGAGAAGTAGAGAAGCAGAAAGTGGGGAAAGAGTTGGGATTGGGAACTGGGGAGAAACCCTCGAAGGAGAGAGAGGGATTTTGGAGTGAGAAGGCGTAGAAAGAGAGAGAGAGACGGAGATGGGATCGGGTCGGGGGAATTGAGTTAGTTGTTCGGAGTGGCAAATGAAATGTGAGTAGGGCGGGGAGAAGAAGCGGGCTTTTAGAAATTTACAACCCAAAACTCAAAATTTTAGCGCTCTCTTTAATGTCAGTGCATCACAATCAGTGTTCTTCTATTCTTTAACGTCGATCGCTCGCGCTTACAGATATTTATAATTTTGGTTGTACACGCGCGCACACATATATCTTGTTTAATAAATTTTAACTTAAATGCATGCCCTTCCAAATGTAGTTATGAATATTACATGCACTAAAAGTTAACTAACCCATCATTTATCTACTATGCAATTGTATCCTAAAAAAGGTTATTGAGAACGATGACTAATTTAGATGGGAGAGAATGTCACAATTATAATAGGAGGTTGTGACTTCACGTGCAGACAATACAAAGTGGTGACACGAAAGTTGCGCCCAACTGGGCACGCAAGGCCTAAGACAAGATGAGTATCGTGACGCGACTAAAGAGGACGATAAATTATCCAACACCCCATAGAAAGTGTGCATTGAAGCTAAATTGAGGCGTAAACAAGATAGAGATAATGATGTCAATATCAAAGACGAACTTGATAAAGGTCAAATAAGGCCCCAAATCTTAAACTCAAAAGTTGGAGTTTTGGTATGAATTAAGCCGATCTATATGAAATATAAATGCTAGCCAAATTTTCTGTTGATCATACCCTCAATGGACACTCCACAGGACCGTATGACCCTTCACCAATATCATGTCTATAACTCATGTACCAAATGTGTCTCATAAATCACTATAGGGGGAGGTATGAAGTCAGCTCTCCACTGCCCCTGGGCTCCATGGCCTAAGCGAGCTATCTTGTGTGGACACACATGTTTGTCATAGCGTGGACAAGCGTTGTTAGACGAGTGCATTAGACATCTTCTTTTGAAACGAGTTTTTAAAAAACAGTGTCGGACGACACAAGTACATCCAACGTATGTGTCGAAGGTTGATATATGCACTCGATATCTAATACGATATCCATAAATGACTCAGCATGGATATGGAAGGGTTCATGCCTCGATATAACCCATATGGATGAATGTTCGGGATGTCCCATTGATATGATCGGCTCATGAGTCGATTCTCAATAGATATGTCCAAGCAAGCTACGATGGCTGATGACATCCCAAAACTTAAGATGATATCATAATATGCAGGTCATGTTGCTCATATCCAAGATGACGAGTTAAGATGTGACGTTGCACATGAATGACCTTGACTTAGAGTAGAGGTAAAGTCGAACAAGATGAGTTGGTTAGTCATTTTTTCTTTATAGAAAATCCTCCAGTTTTGGGTATAATTGCAAAACTTACTAAAAAGTAATCATTTATATGTTTATGTGGTCGCCCTTACCACATTGAGGATTGACAATGACAAAGGGTAAGAGTGAAGAAGAGAGGGTAACAGGTACAGAAAGTAAGAGAAATGTGGGGTTAGGCAGAGACCGTCATATTAACTCTCTTACATCGCAGTAATACTAGAATGAAAAGACGTGCAACTTATACACAGTTTTGGATGAATTGAAATTCTTTAAACTGTCTATATACAAAGCCAATACCAATTATTTTCGCACACCATACGAAAACAAGAGACATGTGTACCAGTTAGTGAATCAACGCATCAGGAGAATTGCTTCCCAAACCATGTTTCTTAATCTGCAGCCTCACGAATCTTTCATACAAGAAAGCTGCACCTGTGGCAGAACCAGCCATGCCCCAAATACCAATTTCACCCAATACCAAACTGCTATCCTGCAACGCAAATAATGAAGCTGTCACTGTTCTTTCAGCCACGAATTAAAACCATGTTATTGAAAACAAAAAGGGGGGAATCTAGAATTTCCACTCACCACTCTAACAAAGGTTGCAGAACAACCATCTCCGTGAGAGTGAGAAAGGAATAGATGATCCAGTAAGCCAACCACTGCTCATCGTCCAATTTCGATGTTATTGAAAACAGAGATCACAAATTAATTAGCCAAAAAAGAAAAAGAAAAGGAAAACCCTCATATAAAAAACAATAATTCTTCTTTCCTCGCGTGTCTTTGAATTTAGCACCAATTCGTTGAAATATTATTGTTAAGTTAAAACTTAAAACTTTGATTACCCCATCTTAATTCACATGTTCCTTCTTTTCCTGCTGGTCCTGGTCGGTGAACTTGTCCACTCCTCTGTCGTAACACCATTTGACCGACCCCCCACCCCCTGCGCTTTCCTGCTCACCATTCTTGCCTCCAGATTCAATGCGTACTTATTTACCTAACAAATTTCTATACCTTAATTCTATTTGCTTAGTAGTTTCGGAAGTATTTTAAGATTATCATTTACGGTGGGAAAATATTACTCAAGACATTGCATGGCTCTTTTTTTCCTTCAAGCGAAGAACAAGAGACGTGGTTTAAAACAATTTCTTGTTTTTCATTCTCTATTGTTTTCACTGAGAAAGAAACATAAATATGTTAAAGCTACTAACGAAAAACAGGGCAGCAACTGCATTTCAAAGGTAAAACAAAACCTGCTTTCACTTTATGGGGTGCTTCCGTTGATGAAACCTTCTTTACGACCTTCAAAGCCAGGACGCATAAGTTTCTTCTCCCTCTTTGTAATTCGCCGCATCTTCTTATCATGAATTTTCTGTGAAATGTTTTCTGACCTCTTTTGTTGTCTTTCTGCTTTCATCTTCTGGGTTGTTTCAATCCTATCCTTCCATTTCTCGACATTCTTTAGCTGCTGTTTCTTTTCCTTCTTTAAGCTCTTCATCAGGAGTTTTGGATCATCGTGAACCTTAGCCCCCGCAGCTCTACTTGTGGCTGCTTTCCAAGAATGCTTCTTTGAGATTATCTCGCCTTTCTCAGGATCTCTCTTTGCTTCGTCTAATTTTTTAGCTCTTTCAAGCTCCTCCAACTTGGAGAGCTTTCTCTTCTTTTTCTTCCCATGCTCTTCTTCAGTCCCGAGTTTGACATGACTGAATGCAAGTTCTTTAGAGGCTTCGTCTACATTCTTCTCCACTTCATCTCTTGAGTGGTGGCCTGCTAATTTCTTTTCCTCGGGCCCATGTTCTCTCTTGCGTTTCTTCTGAATAAGTTCCCTCCTCTCATTTCTTTCATTCCTCTTCTTTTCCCTATTCGAACATCCTGTATTTCTATTTGCTCGGAACTCTTCAATCTTTCGATGAAGACGTTGTCGAAGCTCTTCATATGTAACTGATTGAACATCACCATCCAACCCAGACGTTACTGGCTTAACATCCATTTCATTATCATCACTTTCATCTTTTAACTTGTTCTTTTCCAAGTTTTGCTTCAGCAAATCAAGGGTTGATCTAGCTGACTTTTCAGGATCCATTCGATCTCTTCGAGCTTTCTTAAGATTTTCCTTTGATTCCTTCTTAGCCAAAGCCTTCTCAGTGTTGCTAAGGCCCTGAAACCAAGGTTTGTCATTTTCGTCATTAGGTAAGTAGAATCTTGCAGGGATGAGCTCCACTAACTTGTCGAAGAACATTGCATGCTGATGAATGATAGACTTCAAATCAACAATAGTAGAGACGGAAGTTGTAGCTGTCTTCGACTTTTTGCTTTTCATCTGCAGAATTAATCTCACCACTTAGTCCAAAAATTATTCACTTAGTTACAACCAGAGATAAGGAAAACAAACTTTCACCAAAAGAAAATGTACAAACTGAGATAACGAACAAGTAAAAGACGTGAGAATATCAGGAAGTAGGCATTCTTCACTTCCGTATCTTTCGCTAATTGCAGCAACACAAATAAACAATGGAGACCATGTGGTAGAGCAAGTGAATGAAATTTTTTGACACACAATTTTCACATTTCTCCAATATTCATGAAGTCCAAGGCGGAGTAATAAACAAGCATTCAGTAACAAAAATAAAGAACTCATTCCTAGAGTGCTCCTAGCTTGGTGTCAATATAAAACAACGTTTACGTTCAATAAAGTTGGTTGCTTCAATTGTCTACTACAGTTGCAAGATGCCGAAAAACTACGAAAAGGAATCGAAGTAAGAATCAATCAACCACGGATACTTTAGCTTGGGTCGTGTATCTATGTGCAGTTCACGAAGAACAGCCCAATACTCATTGAATATGCGTCCCTACATTTAATTAGTATATTAGATTCATGTCAAACACTTGTCAAAGAGTTGAGATGGTGTTGGATATTTGAAACATAGCGCTGGACTAAAATTGACAATTCTCGCATTTATTAATTTACTTTCGTTCCAAAACTGGAATGGAATACATAGGAGAACAATAGTAAATTTTGAGTGTGGAAATATAAGATTTCTTTTTTTCTTTAAAAATAGGTGCAGAACATACCCGATTTAATTGTGTCTCTAAGATGTTATATAAAATTTTAAAAATAAAAAACAAGTAGCTGGAGTTCGGGTTGATGCTTTGAAAATTAGGTTGATGCCTCCAGTCAACTAACTAATTATTTCGTCATAAACAAACGAACACAAATCAACTAGATTCTCGGAGAAAAGAAAACTGTAAATGCAAGTGCTGGCTCCTGCTATTAGTTCAGCAGAAACAGTGATTGTTAAAAAGCCTACCTTGACGAAGAGCTTGAGATAGATTTCGTCGGAGTAGGAGCGGGCCACCCGATCTTCTTGTTCTCGCCTGTTGCCACCAGATCAAAACCGCTGTAAGACAAACAACATGCAATTCAGACATTGACGTACGCCATTGAACGCAAAACGGGAGGGAGAAGGAAAGAGATGGACCATTGGAGCTATTAGTGGAGGCCGTAGAGTCTGTCCTATTGGGTGAAACAGGGAAGGGAGAAGGCAGCTAGGGTTTTCCAAAACCCCTTCGTTGGCCAATTTAGAATGGGGCGACGACGCCTTGCTACTCGAATGTGGCGCTAAACCCCTTCATTAGCTTATTCAACTATTTGATTCTTGTACCCCTACAGAAGTTAAATCTTAATCGTTCACGTGTACGATCAGATTTGTCTAGAAAAAAATACAGGGCTTTTCTTTTCTTTTGAGATAAATAACATGGTTTTTCTTTAATTTATCTTTTTATGGAAAATAATAAATTATAGCCGCGAATTAAAACTCAATTATATCCGCCAGTATACTTCTCCACGTTATTTTATTACAAATATAATACTTGTTTCAGATTTTATAAGCTACAAAATCTACTTGAATTTATTAGATTTTACTTAAATTTAAATTTTTTTATCAGATATCATTTTTATTTTTATTTTTATTAGGTGAAATATATTTATAATAAGTTGAATATAGTAATTGGAAAAAGAAAAAAAAGGAGGTTATACTTCGTTTCATGGAGGAAGTGGGTGTTCATAAAAAGCAAATTCAAAGAAAGTAGGAAACTTCATAACATAAGCCCCCATTACTCTATAACATATGATACCAAAATCCAGAGAATTCCACGGCTTCTATTTTCTTCATTTTACTTCACATCACGGAACACCCATTTGGATTCTCGTCGCTGAACATCTGGGGTGGATCTGCGTGCCCGATCACCGCCATATCCGCCGCCGAGTAAGCCATCGCCGGCGGATACGAATACATTTCCATTATGTGCCTTTCCGGGTTATTAAGGTGATGATATTCATTCTTCTTCACTTCCACCACCTTTACACCATCTTCCGCCGCCGGATCGCCTGCGGCTTTCTCCTCGACTTTACTTTCTTCATCCACCTTTTTCTCACTTTCGGCTCCCTCGCCGGCATCGCCTTTTTTCTCTTCCGCGTCTTCTTCTACAGTTTCTCCAGCATTATTACCCGGCGTAATTTCCGGCTCTTGCTTCACAATCGCCACGTGCTTTCCGGTTCTCCGGTGAACATATTCAACCAACGCCGCCGGATCGACGGCTCCTTTCACCGTGACCTGCGAGCTTTTTAGATCCGGGTCCACCGATTCAACACCTAACCAATTCAAATATCCAACTCGGATTATAAAAATTTAAAAAAAAAAAAAAAAGTGAAATTAAGTAATTTATAGAAGGAAAATTAAACCTTTCAGCCTTTTTATCCTTGTTTTGATTTCTTGAGCACAAGCCTCACAATGCATGTGAACTTCCAAGACGACAGTTGAAATCTGATGCTGCAAATTAAATAATTAAATATAAAATATATAGTGAGAAATAAAGAGTAGAAGTGGAAGAGAACCTGTGGTTTGTTGTCCTCTGTTTTGGGGCGGTCGATGGGTTCTAGGATTGGGGAGATCAACTCCACGCGTCTATGGCTTTTCCTCTGAAGTCTCTCCAAAATCTTCAACGGATCAGCCTTCTCCCCTTTCATTTTAACCACTACTCTCTGAGTTAAACAATCCGTCTCCACATTTTCAACCCCTAAAAAGTAACACAAAAAAGAACCAATCATTAATCTTTACAAACTTCAGTAAATATAATGACAGTAAAATCAAACCATGGAAGCCCTTGAGGCAGCGGCGGACCCTGCGCGCGCAGCCTTCGCAGTGCATAAAAACAGTGAGCACAATGTCCTGAATGGATGGTTGTTGGATGGGCTCTGGTTCTTTGGGTGGCTCCTCGGCTTTTGAGTCCTCCCCCATTGGAATGGATGGAGGCGGTCAGAGAAGAAGAAGAGCAAAGCAGTGGCACCGAGTTGGTAGGGCGTGGGGTCTTATAATGGGCAGAGGTTCATATTTAGGACACAAAATTCGGATCCTGCGGCTTTGTGTCGTTTGTGGGCATGTAGTAAGGGTACCACAGAGTTTGTGTTGTGTATGATGATGATGATATATGAAGAAAAAATAAAGAGGTTATAAATACAAGAACCCCAAATTAATGGAACATTTATTATCTTATTATTCCACTTCCTCACTTTTTTACCTCCCTTTTATTCATTACATATAAACAAACCAAATTCAATTTCTCACCACTGTATTAAATATCACGGATTCATTTCCTTTTATTATTTACTACTTTTAATAATAATTCAATGAATTTGTGTATTTATATTATTAAATGTCCTTCCTATGGACAGGATGTTGTCGGAAGGATATCTTTCTTTCTTTCTTTCTTTCTTTCTTTTTTTTAATTACCCATGGAAATACGTTAAATTTTAGTACTTTCATTTTAAATTTAGTTAGAATTTTTAAAAAACTCAATTACATTTTTTTTTTTTTAATCGAGTCGGTTGTTTTTTAGTTTACATTTTTACTTCAACCCGCGCTCTAATCACTTCCCTTATAATTTACATTGAATTTAATTTTTGCAAACAATTTTTTACGATAAAAGAATTTTGGATTTTTAGTTAAATTTTAAAAATAATATAAGATTTTATTGACTTTTATCTTTAAAAATATTTTTTAAAATAGACAATAAAAACAAATAAATTAATAGGTAAATCATAATTATTTAGTTTTTTTTTTTTTAATTATGTTTGCTTTCTCAATTATCTGCCATACGATATCTCTTAACAAAAGAATTTAAATTCTTAATCAAATTAATAATTTTTTAAAAACTATATATGTTTTCCCAAAATTAGCTGATTTTTAAAAAATACAAACAAAATAAGGAAATTATTTTTTTTTTCTTTTTAGGGAATATTTTCATGAAAAACGAGACTTAAGGTTACCTACTTCTAGGTTTTTTTTTTCTTTTTTCTATGGATAAAGAAGAAGACGAAGAAACTTAAGCTCACCTACTTCTTAGTAGGTTAATTTCCAATTTTATAAACAAAATTTCAATGAATCAATCATTTGGGGTTTTAATGAAATTGAATTTTAAAGCTTTTGTTCTCTTTATAAAAACAAAAATTATTATCAACTTTAAAAGTTTAATTAAACCCATCATTCTTCTAAAACATACTATTTTACCATTATGAATGCGTGCAAACAAAGTTCCAAACTTCCACGATTTGACACTCATAACACCTTATTTCTTACTTCTTCCCATCGTTGTAAGCATAATTCTTTTTAGGTAATTTTCTAACCTATTTTTTAAAAATTATTTTGTATTTGATTTTACGGATTAGTATTCTCAATCAACCAACTTAAATTTTCAAGTTGGTTCGAGAAAATCTCTAAATATAATAAATTATTATTATTTAGAATAGTTGAATAATGCAATATTGAATGTTTGAAGTGTACCGGTTGGCATAATCAATTTCCTTGACATCACAATTAAAAAGGAAGCAATAATTTATAAAACAGAGTGCTTTAATTAGGACCCCTACTCCAAATCTTCTAATTAATTTTGGCCCCCTAAATATAAGATTCTCTGCTCTTCTATTTTTCTCTTTTAACTAAATAATTGACCTCTTCAATTGCCACCTCCTCCTTTACACCTCCTCCTTTACACCTACACGCCCATGTGGATATCAAACTGTACACATCAGCTTGCATTTCTGATTTCTTTCCGCGTCCGAGACCCCTTCTAGATATTGCATTAACGTCAGCCACGTGGCATGTAATAATTTTACTTTCCTTATATTATTGAAAATTCCCCCACCTCCCGCCCAATTGCCCGGTTGTTGGGCTGGGCTTATCATCTTCAGTCCAACTCAGTAAGCCCATTAAACATCACTAACTTTTATACGATAGAGCCGAAACCAAATACCGAGTAGATATTGTTCTCTTTGGGCTATCATTTTCAGGCTCTTCCATTACACGTCTGCTAGTGAAAGATTTTCACACCCTTGTATTAGGTGTTTTGTTCTCCTCTCCAATCAATATGGGATATTCCTGTCACTTCTATGTTTAAAAAAAAAAGAAAAAAGAAAAATCATTAAGATAATAAGATAGGAAAGAATGCATGCCATTTCAAGTGAGATGTCCAAGATACAAGGGAAGAATGGACAATGCTTCTTTAACCTCACCAACCTGGACATTCATTTTTGTTATTTCTATCAAATATCGTAACTATAAATATTATTTGTCCTCCCCACTTGAGCAATCTCAAAAAACTATAATTTTATAAATGATATTAACTTTTTAACTACTTACCAAAGAGACAAGGAAAGCCCAAAAACAAGCAGTAGTTAAAAAAACACATATTTTAGAGAACGGTTAAACATTGGAAGGATGCAGATTGATGGGGGATTTTGAAATTATATGGTCCGCTTAGGGTCACGTGCCTCGGCTCTATTTGAACAACAATTTAAAATTAAAATTAAATTCATATTGTCCCTTTAAATAAAGTTTTAAGGGATTGTTTGGATATGCATAATGTTTAAAAAACTGAATGTAATATTCTGTTTGTTTATTACAAATTGGATCAATAATTTAAATTTGAATATAAAGTTGTAAAGTATGCAATAACATATGAGTATGAAATATATGTAGAGAAGAGGGTGGAATTATTATAGGAAGGGAACATTATTTGGTGGTTGAAAATAAAGGAAGGGCGACAGTGAAGCTCAAAATGGGTCAGGCTTACCTGACATTGGCATTTAAACCTTCCCTTTTTGGTGGTTGGGGTTGAGCATCTTTTTAATTCTTCTGTGTTCTTCGTTTTTACTCGCTTTATCTCACTGTATCGTCACTGATTTTAAACCCTCCCCCTTCCTCTTCTTTTACGATCGCGATTAACTTCTTCTTGCATTGCACCATTTTTCATTACAGGCATGCCTTGATGCTTCAGAACGGAGGATCATCGAAGCAGCCATTGGAAGAAGCATCAGAAGGTGAATGAACGGCTCAGGCAATTACAAGGTGTGTGTCTTTCCTTGAATTTTCCACTCATTTGATTTGTTTAATGCGTGTAGCGAGAGGTCATCAGCAAGAAGCATCAAAAGGAGTGGGGGCAGACAGCTCATCACCAGTTTCGGGCAAATAATTATAGTTTGCTTTCCCTTTCCCTTGAAAAAGGAAGAAACAATAAATATTGGCATGCTTTTCCTTTCTGGGGTTTGTAAGGAGCTTTCAAGTTTCAAGTTCCCATAAGAAATTTGATGGTGTGTGTGCATTTACCTTTTGTTTCTTGAGAATTGAAACCCCCACCCACCAAATAAAGAAAGAAAACATGCCAAGAAACGTGAAACACAATGGGGTAGGCCTATCCACTTGCTCTGCCTGTCTCCACCACCATCCATTTTTGAACAACTTCTCTCCTTTCCTTAGTTAGGCACCAAAAAGCTGTCTCTCAAGCTCCCACATCTTAAACACACCCTAACCAAGACGACTAAACAAACCACACCTAAATTCAAAAGAATCTGTATAAAGTAGGCGCCTCCTTTTGGCTGTTCATGGAGTTGAGGTTGCCCACTTTCTCTCAGTATAGACTGAAACACTCCTAACAATGATATCTTGTTGTTGACAGGTACAAACAGTGATTCTTCTTGGGTAATCTACAGCCCTAGCTTTTTATATGGGGTTTTCCCCCTTCTTTTTTGGCTAACAAACTTTAATTGCTTGGTGGAATCCTTGTCAGTGAATGAATGGTTGTGTAAAATAGGAACCCATTTGTCCTCTGCTGCTCTAGTCTGCAACTACTCTTCATCCTTCATTTTTATTTTAGTCTTCCTACTTATTATTCTTCTAATATCTGGAACTGCTAAAATCAAAGAGCCACAATCACCACTGATGTGATGTTTTTTGTGTTTGGTTTAAAAGACATGCAAATAACTGTGTTCTGTTTCTTGTATTGTTGGCTCCCTGTATATTAATTAGTGGGCTCTGTTCTTGTTTTATGCATTTCTTGTCGGTCATAAGGTACTTGATACTAGTTTTGTGGGCTTGGTTGCAAGTAAAATTCTCCAATTACTTGGGGATTCTTCTTACGCGGTTTTATCTCATGTTTTTTTTTTCGGTTTCTGTGTTCTTCAGGTGTTTAATTTAATGCATTCTTGAAGTCGTTATAGAAGAGCGATTCAAGCTCCGTAAAGGTGTTTTTTAAGTGGAAAAGAAGCAAATAACTAAAGAATTTCTGTATGGACTGGAACTTGAAGGCCCCATATTGGGATTTCACTCAATTAGAACACGATGCATCAAAGAACATTAATACAATAGGTGCATCCAGCAACTTTGTGGAACATAGGACGACAACTTCTAGAGATTTCTCGGTTGATTTGAAACTTGGTCAGGTCAGCCATCTTGGAACAAAATATACGGTCAACAAACTTAAAATGGCACCATCCCCTTCAGAACCATCCAAGAGGGCAAGAGGATGTGGGAACGGGGCTCAGCCGTTGTCTTGCCTTGTTGATGGATGCGTTTCAGACCTAAGCAACTATAGAGATTACCACAGGCGCCACAAGGTCTGCGAGCTCCATTCAAAGACTCCACAGGTCACAATTGGTGGCCTTAAACAAAGGTTCTGTCAGCAGTGTAGTAGGTAGTTTCTGGAGCATTAACATCAGCTTTTATGGTTTGAGTTTTAATAGGATTGTTAGGAGGGAGTCACGTTGGCTAATTTAGAGAATGATCGTGGGTTTATAAGTAAGGAATACATCTCTATTGTTATGAGTTCTTTTGGGAAGCTCAAAGCAAAGTGATGAAAGCTTAGGCTTAAAGTGGACAATATCGTAACATTGTGGAGATTCGTGATTCTTAATAAACAGTTTCTATGCATTCCCGTCTTATATCTAATTGCTCATTAATAGTGCTAGGTGCTCATTAATAGTCATTAATAGTTACACGCTGTACAGGTTCCATTCATTAGAGGAATTTGATGAAGGAAAGAGAAGCTGCAGGAAACGTCTGGATGGACACAATCGAAGGCGCCGGAAGCCACAGCCAGAGTCCCTATCTCATTACCAAGGTTTTTGATATGGATCCATCTTTATTTCCGTTGTGAACAGCAAATTCTTGCAGTTTTAACAAGCCATTTTCTGGTTTCAGGTTCCCCATTTATACCATTTTCTACCTCATATGTCTATCCATCATCTACAGCTGTTGCGAACCATTCATGGTGCGGAATTTCAAACACTAAGACAGATGCAAGCCTTCATACTCAGCAACACTCAACCCATTTCCCTGATAAACACCATATGTATCTTGGATCGTCATCTAATGATAGCATCCACAAAATTCCAAAGCAGGTCACATTTCTGCAAAGCGACAATCCGGAAACTTTGGTCTGCCAGCCCCTTGATTTTTCAGAAAATGCAGGCGGTCGGGGCAAATTGTTATTTGACAGATTTTCAAATCCAGGCCATGAATCGGATTGTGCTCTCTCTCTTCTGTCATCTTTGCAGACACGGTCATCAGGGGTTGGTTTAAGCCAACCCGACCAGGACTCTAATCTAATATCCTTCATGCAGCCATTAGATGTGAGCTTAGGACATCACAACAGCTTGGACCCACTTAATTCAGTTCTGAATGGCAGTGTGAGCAATGCAGATATCAGTTGCTCGAGAATGTTTCAGAGTGCTTCTGATGATGGAGGGAGAGAAGCTCCTCCACCACCATCCCTTCCTTTTCACTGGCAGTAAAATAGCTTCAGTGCACAAAAACTGATCTTTTGGCATAAAAAAGAATGAACAAACAGTGATTCTGTAAACTCGTGTCTCCATAATCTTGGTAAGGGTGTTCAATCTTTACTTAACAATGATACTTCTCTCATTTCAACTTCCATTACTTTGTGGAGCATTTTTCTTACCTGCTTTACAATGGCTTATTTGCATCTCAATGGTTTCATAAATATGACATGGGACCGTGGGAATCTTGGGTTGTCTCTCCTAGAATTGGGTTTCATTTTTAGGATCCTAATTGTTTACACTTCCATTGAATAAGAAACCCAGCTGTTTAGCAGTGTTCTTTTCAGAGCTTCCATGGCGGCTGAGTTTGAAACAACACCAGTTGCTGTCATATCTTGTCATGGTTTTAAACATACAACTATCAACAACAAATATAGCGAGTCAATGCCTAAAATAAGCACAAACTTTCCATCTGATCTTTTTGGTGGGAATGCCATTTTGATGTATTTTTTTAGTTAAAAGATCAATAATTGATGTAACCCAAAACAAAAACGAAGATCCACAATCTTAGTGCTAAATCCTAACATTAGCTAAAAGCTCACTTTTGGATGATGAATACATGGAAAGACCTAATATTACCTAAAAGCTCCCCTTTTAAATGGGGCTTCTGCTAGAAATGGACTTTCAGCCAGCTTCTTCGTGGATAACCCCATGTTAGGCCATCAAACCAAGACATCGCAGAATAGAGTTGATGCATAAAACTAATATAAGCAGACGATGGAAGGATGGAAAGGAAAGGTCATCGGACATTCCTTGAAACATGAACTCTTAACCAAGTTTCTATAATATCAGGGAAATGGCAGATGTAAAACCCAGATGGTCATTGGGAACAAACATATAAATAGTACTCATAAAACATACAACGGGAGATTTCAAATCATCGGTGGATTTTAATTATCCACAAGGAGTCTGAGTGTTAACATAAGCATCAATCATAAACTCTAATAAAACCCACTTGATCCTAAGTCGATGCAAGCAAAATCAGCATGAAATTAAGGAACCTGAAAGCTGGTATATGATTCGGAGGTATTTATTTTCCTCAACAAACAAAATGCAAAGATGAGAGAGAAGGCATATTGCATCATATGGTTATACCCAACGACTTCTTGAATTTCTCGACCTCCAAATATACTGTGGAGTAGGGAAGAAACTCTGAGAAATGTTCCTTGCTCAGGTCATTAATTGCAACAGCAAGTTTAGGAATTTCCAAGGTCTCCTCGTGGGTCAACGTCCTGACAAACCTTGCTGGGTTTCCTGCCCAAAGTTCACCACTGGGAATTCTCCTTCCTGGGGGAACTACAGACCCAGCTTCAAGAATTGAGTGTGTCTCCACCAGGGAACCTTCCATGAGAATGGAATGCTGTCCAATAATGCACTCCGGCTCAATGGTGCATGACCGCAACAGACTATATGCACCAATGGTGACGAATCTCTCTATGGATGTCTCTGCTGGCAGTCCTGATATTAACATATGGGGCAATTTAGACATAGCAGCACTAGAAAACATAAATATGTTACGAACTTAAAAGATGATGTAAGCGGCACTACAATTTTTAGTTCATCTTTATATCCAATCCAACCGCCTCTCACATACAATACGATATAGTGATCCTTTACCCCAAACTGACAACTGACTGGTTATAAATTAAGCACTTCGACCAAGCAAACTTGGTCAAATTAGATTACGTGAGCCCTTTTTTCCTCACTTAGAACTTCCTCACCTATTTCCCTCAAAGTATATGGTACTTCAAAAGAATAAAAACAAAATAAAGGTGAAAAATACACATTTTAAATAGCGAAGTTTCACATTTTGGACTGATCATATGAATAACAGAAACCAATTCAGTAAATTTGGGGTCTGGCTATTGTCCAGTTGTCACCGGACAAGACTGGATTTCAGCTCTTACAGAGAGCCAAAGAGAAGGGCTTAACAAGACAGAGAAGGAAATAGTTGAAGAATTGTGCACTTCACCACCAATCCTGAAAAATGCAACACCACGCGTTTGACAGAAAAGAAGTCAATGTATGAATATCATTTCGATAGGCAAAGGAAAACCCATACTCTAAAATATTTGTAGGCCAAACTTAGAAGTAGTGTGCACATAAGCCAAAGAGAGGAAAGGTGAAGCAACTTACAGCTTGCAGACTTGCACTATCTCTACCCGTCAGCCCTATATCGCCCTATCTGTATCTATTTGTCTCTATCTATCCAAGGGGCTTCTCTGTCTCCATTGTACTTCCCTCTTTGACTCTCTCTATTCATCACGCTGTCTCTCTAACCCGACTATCTTTTTCCTCCTCCCATTCTCTTTCTTTCTCTCCATCTCATCCTGTCTCTCTCTTTATCTGTTACTTTTCCCGTCTTTCGCCTTATCTCTCTTATCTCTTCGTAGCCCCCCCTCTATTGTTAAATGAAGTATGATCAATTACAATAATTCACATTATCATAGATATCAATGAAAATAAGCAAATTTTGGAAATCCCTGATACAGAACTACCTCCACTTGCAAGTTTAGCTCATAAAAAACAAGAGGTAAAAAAGGAATTGAAGGTCCAAGAAAATAGTGTAAATTAAGTTCATTATGTGGATCTAACTTTTGAGGAAGAGATGAAGAAGCATGACGTTTTTTATGATGTTAGATTACAGCTTAGTGCTATAATTATGACAGTTTTGCTTCTTGAATTGGAGCAATTTGAATACATGACCTTGAAATGAAACCATTTTATCATAAATTGGGAGCGGGAGGGTTGTTTCTGACAATTGATGAAAAGTCCAATATGTTGAACCAAGGTTTATTGAAGCAATCGGAGAACCGTATTTTAAACTGAATGGCTGTCTTATCCTGAAGTGAGGGTATCGAGGTTGAACACAAAGAGTTAACAATAAAGTAAGTAAAGAGGGTTTGATACATTATCAAGCTGGAGGGTTGGATGGAAGAGATACTAGATTGATTAACCTCTTGGTTAAAACTTAATATTCCTATAGGAACCGTGTTTATTGAGTATGCTATGCTTCACTGTATATGAAGAGTGGAGAACAATGCTTGGATTGATTGAAAATATTGTGGAGCATGTAGGGAGATTAACAGAAGAATATCAATCAGTTTCTCATTAAATATCAATCAGTTTCCCTTCAAGTCAATAAAGAATGCATAGAAATTAGGTCGTGTATTTCTCAGGGCCACTAACTCCAATTACTCGAATCTATTGAGTCTCCAGAAAACCAAAATCTAGACACTTAAATTGATTGTTTATCTACACTGCTACAGAGCAGGTACATAATTACATATTTTCTAAATAATTGTACAGATTCAATCACTATTCCCCTGGAATTGATAATTTAAGAAACAGAAAATTGCGTATGCAATTATCAGGAACCCTTTTCTCAACTACATACAGAACCGAGGAAAGCAATCACCAAACAACCAAATTCGATAAGAAACCAAAATCTGAAAATGATAGAGAAAAAAAACCAGATAAAAATATGTAAGTCGAAATGAACCTGTTGGAGAGGACCAAGCAGCATGAAGGACGCACCGTTCCTGTACATTAGAGCAAAACCCGACGGTGATCTTGTTGAGATCGCCGCGGAGAACGGAACCCGCCCAAACGGAGGCCCCGTCGCAGACGTTGACCTGTCCGGCGAGGACAACATTAGGCGCAACATAGGCGTCGACGGCAATTTTGGGGAGCCACTGGCCAAGCGGGATTATCTTTCTTTGACCTCTATAGTCCCACTTGACTCGATCCGGTGAGGGCGCAATCGTTTTCGACACTTCCGTCGACAAAGCGCGGCGGAGTTGATTAGTCGCAACCGCCGAGGCTATTGCCTTCCTGGAAAAGCGAGCTAGAGCTGCCATTTCAAGAGCAGAAGCGAGCGTGGTCTGCGATTCAGCTGATGGCAAGTCGGAGTGGGCGATACGATCACCTGGCTTTGTTGTTCAATGGGCCAAAGATGGGCCATCATATGGGCTTTAAACATAAATGGGCCGTAAACATAAATCGTTCTTTAGAAATTCGACTCTTCATATGAAGCAAAAGAATATGGATCATGTCTATATACATTTGAATTAGTTTCACGAATTTTTATGATCATGTCTATAATAGATTCATATTTTTACTTTTAGTTTTAGTATTTCATATAATTTGAACATGAATCATATAATTTCAAATACATAGTTCAAAAAGACATATACAACATATACAATAAGGCAATGCGATATATATTAATGAAATTGGTCCAAATTTCAACTAGAGAGCACCCTTGGAATTAAGACCATTTTATTTTTTGATTTTTTTTGGGGTAACGCATAAAATGAAATCTAAGAAGGTGCTCTTGGCTCATAACTAACAACCATCTCAAAATTCTGAAATTTTCTTCAGAGTTAAAAATTAAAATAATGTCATCGAATCAAAATCAGCCCTGAATAAGTTAGGGAGACAACAGTGTGATACCAAACAAACAAAGTAAAAAATTAATAATTCTGGAGGGAGAAGGAAAATTTCCCAAGTTGCATATTTGGGAGGGGAGGAGATGGTCCAAGTCATGAGGAAAAGCCAGCCACTGTCAGACCTACACCTAACCTACCTCTAATAATATCATGCAAAGCAATGCAATAATGCAATGAGAGGTTATTATGTTGTCAAGAACACACACCTCTTCATTCCTGCCCAAAATCAACAGACAAAATTTCCTCCGACACATCCAAAACCTCTTCTACTTCAACCTCTTTGGCTTCGTATTCCTCTTCCTCATCACTAGCTTCCCCATCCCGCAGTTTTTGCCGCAACTGCTTCTCTTCTTCATGCAATTTTTTCCATTCATTCACCCACTTCTCCCACTCCTCCTTCAACATCCTCCGCTTCTCCCGGTCCTGCTCGCTCAGCAGCATAGATACATCCTGATCTTCAGCCTCGTACTTCTTACTGTACTTCTTCAAATTCTTTGCTATCTCTTCCTCTTTCTCCGCACTCAACAAGGAAGGTGGTCTTGGCCGCCATGCGAACTGTCACAACCACATTTTTTAAAATCAGGGAATTCAACCACGACTCCAAAGAGTTCGCCATCATAAAGAATCTAAATCGACCTAATTTTTT